AGACGCATGTCCAGGAAAAAGCGGAAGCTCCAGTTCGTCGCAAATCTTGCACGGGTGCTCTGGGTCCTGCATCTGCCAGCCTAGAGACGAGCATGCCGAACGAAATCACCTGGCAGGTAAGGCTGTCGTGGAATCCTGCAGCGCGACGCAGAAGGCCCGTGGTCCGACTCGGTTGCAGTCGACGCCAGTAGGGAAATTTCAAACTCTATGTACCTCTCAAGCAGGTCCCGGGATATCCCCGCGTAGTCTATATGTTGCGGTGTTGACCCCGGTGGGAGAGGAGTCCACGGTGTTGGGGAGGGAGGGGTCGCGGGCCCGAACGAAGTCCAGGCTGCGGGGGGGGGGGGGGGGCGACGAGGTCTCGACAGGGGGCGGTGTGAAGACCAACGCAGGGAGCGGACTGCCTGCTGCCGACGGCGGCTTGGGCATCCACCCTAATCGCAAAATAGTCGCGCGTGTTTCCTTCGAAAAGCTCGTGAATGTAGTCAACGCTCGCATTGTAGTCTGAAACACTACGATATGGAGGTACATGGGCACAGGCGAGGAGGGTACTCTGGAAGCCCCACCGAAGCCCCGCGGACATCGCTTCTCCACGAGGGTTGCGTCGACATCTCCTGCGAACAATCGATGTGCCATGATAGCTGTCTTCATGCGCCCCATCGCGGGGGCTCGAAACGAAATGGACGCGGCCGCCGTCCGCGGCACCAGCGCGGAAGTGCTCAGAGCACGCAGCCTCCTGAAGGACAATAACATTCCAACGCCCCTCTTTCTCCAGCTCTGCGCCCAAAAGATTCGGATGTTTTTTCGACGCTACGCAGATTCCAAAATATGATTCGAGATGTCGAGCATCGTCCCTGGGATACTGTTGATCCCACGCATCAGCGCATGCCGAAGTTGATTGTTTGCAAGTACTCAGCGAAGCGGATGTTAAACTGCGAAGACAGGGCCCGGGGAGGCACCTCGAAGAGCCCCGCGGTGCGATTCGCCTCGGACAAACGGCTGAGCACGCAGTCCTCCGCTCGGTAGCGGACGGTCCCAGCGTCCCAGTCGCGCGGCAAGGTCTGCTGCAGGTCCTCGCGCGTTGGGATTTCCGGCCAGGCGGTCGATCTCTTCCAGGTGCTTGATCGCGACGTTGCGGGCGGCCGAGGTCATCTTGCTCACATGGCGCTCGTCCTCCGTACTGTCGATCTGGCGAATGGCCGACCATTGTGAGAACACTTGTGGCCTGAAGGCTTTCAGTGCCAACCGAAACGAAAGGTCCAGGCATATACAGATCTTCCACTGAGTCGGGCCCCATCCCATTCGGGACGTTGTGGCTCAAGGCCGCGATGTCTCTCAACTTCTGCAAGATGGTGGCCTTCCCTGTGCCGGTCTGGAAGCCACCAGCGACGATGACCTGGCGCCTCGTCTTGGCACGTGGTCTGCTCCACGACTGTAGCGGTTACTTGGGTGCGAGCCTGATCCGTTCGAGTCCCTCCGGCGTCGCTTGCCATCGAAAAAGTCGAGCCTGCTCCTCTCCTCTCAAACTGCGCGGTTCGCGAAGGCAGGTCCTGTAGTGCCTGACCCGTTTTGTCGATCCTGGCCGACATAGTGTCCAGACGGGTGCCCGTCAACCATACCTTCAAGTCCACGCTAGTCTGTTTGACCGAAACGTTGTGCACGTCACTCTTGACACCGCAAAGTCTGGTATCAGGGCCATTTCGAACGCCTCGAACATGGCGTTGGCTTCGGGACCCAGGTTCATTTGCTGGGGCGGCCCATGCTGACGCGACGGTCTGGATGATGCTTTCCCAGCAGCCCCTGGGACGGCGACATCGACGTCGGTCTGTGCTTCTATCAAGTCCTCACCGCCTGTCACGCGGGGGACCTTGGGACGCGGAGCGCCGTCGGACCCCAGCGCGCCTGACATCGTCCTCGGGCACTGGGAGCGAGGTGACTGGGGCTGGCAGTGGAACTTGAAAAAGAAAAGCCACATCGGGCATGCATCGGGTGGAGGACAGGTTTCGCAACAGCTCTTGAGCTAAACTGGATAATGAAGATGATGCTGGTGCTGATGATGCTGATATGCCTGCGAATGTTGATGATGGTGGCCGTGGTGATGTTGATGGTGGTAGAGATGATTGTGATGACGGTGGTGATGATGACGAGGATGATGCTGCTGGTGATGATGATGACGCTGACGATAACGATGAGGAGGATGCTGCTGATGATGATGATGATGACTGTGAAGGGCGACATAAAGCTTGGGGAAGACGCTAAACACATCTCACCATTGCTCTCATCATCTAAGGACCTCATCAAGGTCTTGGGAGCCCTTCGTGGAGGCCTCGCCGAGAGACCTGACATGCTCAAGGCCGCCCTCCACGAGGACGACCTCCTCGCAGGACGCTGGGCCTGTAGCCTGGCGCCTCCCTGCGGGAGCGGGGGGGCGGGCGGAGAAAGACCCGAACTGTCATCTGGTCCCTGTTGGCCTCGCGGGGGCCTCGGGAACCGCTCAAGACAAGGTTCTTGGTGGTAGCCCGGCCGTGGGGTTGCTTGCCAGCTCTGATACGCTTCACTGGGGCTTCGCCTGCTGCAAAAGAAATCTTTACAGTAGGCACCATACCGCACAAAGTGCCATAGGGCCACACCTGCTCTCTGCGGGGATTCGATCTGACAGCGTAGAAGGTAGACGTGGCCACATCGACCGACTCCAATCACTGACCGCTGTCAGCCCTAACTCCATCGCCACCACCCGAAACCCAACACCGTCCCGAACCCGTGGCTGCGGATCAGGCTTTCCCGGCGGCAGCTCGGCAGAAGCGGGCACAGGCTGGGCTTCGCCGGGGTCCAATCCCACCGTACCAAGCCTGGCCTTACCAATCGTTTGCCCACGCGCTTCGACCTGCGCAGCCGAGCTGCGCAGCCCAACGGGCCGACGCCTTCGCAAGACACTTGAAACCGCTGTACAGTTTCACATGAGCCTCCGACGCAACATGCCTTGAGGCAGCTATCTGGGCGTACATATCGGCAGAATGTTTGGCCGTTTTCCCTGCTATCGAGCATTGCGCGTCGTTGTCCCGCAGCGATAACACCAAAGATTTGGAAACTGGACGTAAAAACTGGAACCTCCCGCAGACGCCCCAGAACCGACACCACCCAAAAGAACATCCATCGTCCCCTGGCAATCGCAATGCACCTCTATCGGCGCGATCGCACACTGCGTGGACATGAACACAGCAGAATCCTCAACGTCCGTGGCCGTCTGCCTCGGACCGTGGGAGAGATGAACATGACCGTAGCAAACTGCCTCGACCTGCCCTCCGCCCTGGACAGCCCTGGTATGCCAGGCTCAAGGGCAGACCCCTGCAAAAAATCGGCCCCGAGAGGCGGCCTGCCGAAGCCCGATTCATCAAACACAAACAATCGGTTCAAGCTCCCGGGCAGGCAAGAAAGCAAGCGGGAACGGAAACATCGCACGACCAACTCTCTCGGCCAACTCCTCAACACCTTCCTTGGCCCGAGCAGCTTGGCTCGCAAGCTCTGTCGAAACTTCGTCCCGACGCAGCCCTGCAGGGGCTACGCACTGAAACTGCCTGTGTCAAAGTGTGCCCCTCTCCTCCTTGCAAAGCCTACAATCACAACGCTGGTCCAATACATGCTTATATGCACTCTCGCCTGAGGCCAGTGCACATTTCTCATAGGGCGCTTCTCAGGGCCCTCTGGTGGTTGGGGCCCCACGGGGAGAAGGAGAGGAGGAGGAGGAGGAGGAGGAGGAAGAGGAGGAGGAGGAGGAGGGGGAGAAGGAGGGGCAGAGGAAGGGACAGGAGGCGGAGGAATGGAGGAGGGGCAAGAGGGCGTTCCAAAAAAGAGGGTACCGTGACAGCAGCTCTCCTTGCTGGCCAAGCGCTTGGCGGTCCGACGCTCTGATCGCACTGGCTCTGATTTCCAACCGGAACTCAAGAGGCGAGATCTGAGACAGGTTGCGCACCTGGCCTTGATCCGTCTCCACCGACCAAAAGTCACGAAGCGTACAATCGATGCGTTGCAGAGTGAACAACGCTACACCAGCAGGTGTGGCCGCTCCCTGCCAAGCGTGCTTCCTAGCTCGAAGGGTGGCGGCATCGATCGACACATTCAAAATCGAAACCTTGGGAATCCAAACCAGACAGCGGTGGCCCACAGAACAGCAACGTGGCCAACGTAGGCCACCAAGAAATCCACGAGTTGACACATCCTAAACGAGTGCAGCCGGATTCCAACGGAGGTTCTGGTGATGATGATGGTGATGTTGATGATCATGACGTTGATGATGGTGATGATGATGTTGATGGTGATGATGCTGATGGTGCCGATAGTGAGGATGATGATGATGGTGCTGCTGATGCTGATGATGATGATGACGATGCCGATGAAGATGACGATCATGCTGCTACTTATACCATGGCGATGATGCTGAGACTGATGCTGCTGATGAAGTGATAATGATAATTATGGTGATGGTGCTGGTGATGGTTAGGCGGATGATGATGAGGTTGGGGATGCTGACGGAGATGGTGATGATGGTGCGGATGAGCATGAGGATAACGATGGGGAGTCATGATGGTAATGATGATGAAGATCATGAAGATGCTGATGTGGATGATGCTACTGCTGGTGGTGATGATGACGAGGATCATGATCATGATGATGATGATGGTGGTGGTGGTGATGGTAATGATGCGGGTGACGACGACGATTCTGATGATGGTGATGATGATGCTGCTGCTGCTGATGATGATGCTGTTGATGGTGATGCTGAGCAAGAAGGTTATGAGGAGACGGAGGAGGAACATACCCCCTACTCCTTCTCTTCTTCTTCGTCTTCCTCCTCCTCCTCCTCCCTCCTCCTCTTCCTCCTCCCCCTCCTCCTCCTCCTCCCCCTCCCCCCCCTCCTCCTCCTTCTCCTCCTCTTCCTCCTCCTCCTCCTCTCCTCCTCCTCCTCTTCCTTGTCTCGCCCTCCACTCCCAGGCTGGGCCTGCCTGCGCGCAGGCGTCCACCGCGCCCTGAAAGCGGTGGTGGGTTGCCCAGTCCACCCGGATGCGGCACGTGGCCGATATCCTGGCGTCGGCAGCGGGGGGGGGCGAGCCCGGGGGGGAAGTGAGAAGGGGCGGGTCTTTCCAGAAGGCTCAGAGGGCCTCGGGTCGTGTGAGAAGTTTTGTCTAACCCTTCCCCGAAGACGTAGACAACTTCTCAGAAGGAGCGAGGGTTCCTCTGAAGTCCCGCCGCCGTCTAAGAAGGCCTTTCTCCTTGCCACTTCCCCCTCGCTCCACGCCGACGGGTGGAGGGGTGGGGGAGAGGGGGGGGGGGGGGGCGAAAGCGAGGAAAAGAAGTGCTAAGCTCTGCCCTCCACCCTCGGGGATCGAGGAGGGCACACGTTTCGAACGACCCTGGGAATTTCGGATACTCTCTGATGCCCTCTGCCCTTTTTGGGCCTCCAGGGACCTCCAGGGACTCTTGGGGGCCAGGATCCAGGGCGGAACTAAAACTTACAGGGGACGTTCTAGATGGGTCCAAGATTTCACACGGCCAGGCTGGGGTGCTCTCGAATGCTTCTGGAGGTTCCGGATTTTTCTGGAACCCTGGAGGGACAGGTGGGAGGAGAACGGAAGGAGGGACTCCCTCTCCTCCTGTAACCTACTTCTCATCCCCTTCCTTTCCACTTCCCCCCCTCATCCTGCTGCCCCCATCCTCCTACTCCTGCTCCACCCCCTCCCCCCACATACGCGTCCTTCCTCCTCCATCTTCTCCTCAAGACAGGGGTCGGGATGACCGAGGGACGGAGGCGGAAAGGAAGAAACGAGGAGGAGGAGAAGGAGGAGACGGAGGAGGAACGGTGAAAAGGATCGTGAGGGGAATGAGTCCTGGACCCATGGACTCTTCCCTCTGGACCAGTTGTTCATCCTGAGTAGTTCTGGACCCTCCCGAGGCCCTCAGACGGCCCCTAGAAGCCGAGAGCTGCGAAACAAATCCAGGACCCGTGTCATCGGGGCCTTTTGGATTCAGGGCGAGGAGAAGCACGACGACGAACACCTACGGATGCCAGCATGCCTTCGCTCCTCGGCCAGAAAGGCCCAAGATGCCTCCTCGCATCCCCCCTCCACATGCGCTGCATGCGCGGCGGCGCAGCCAGATGCGGCAGGTTCGTGTCGTGACGCCCTGCATGTTGGTCCCTGATGTCACGTGGATCGTTCAACCTTGAACGATCGTGGCTTGCCGATCGCGAAAGATCGTTCGGGAATGGCCGATTCTGGGCCACCGGTGGGGCTCAGCCTTGAACGCCCGCGCCAGGGGCCGGCGCCTCGTCGACACCACACGCACCCGACGTGCTTGCCGCACCGCCTCGCATGCCGTGCCGCCCTCGGCGGGGCGATGGGCAGACCAGCCGGGCAGGGCCGGGCGGGGCCGGGCGGGGCAAGGCGAGCCTTCAGGGATGCAGGGCAGGACACGTCTTGCAGAAATAACGAGCCTCGCCGTCGCTGGGACGTCCATTCCCCGTGCTCGTTTCGGTTTCGTGCGTGTTTTCTGGGCCTGCTGGTCTGATGGTCGAAGATGCTCCTCGAAGGTCCTCGCCGAAAAAACTGCACACGTCCGAGCGATGCCAAGAGAAAGGCAGGGGATGGGGGAGTCGAGGTTGGACGTCCTTGGGCGTCCCATGAGGCCTCCTGGGGCGTCCTTGTGGTCGCGGCTGGGCCCCCCTCGAAAGTCCTTCCTTCCAGAGCGCAACCCAGGAGTCTTCGGGGGCGAATACTCAGAAGGTCCTCCGTCGGCGGCGGTGACTGTGGGAAGGGGGGTGGGGGAGGGACGGGGACGGACGAGGAACGGGCGGGGCAGGGGTGGACGCTCAGAGGGAAACAGTTGCAGGGGCTGGCTATGCCACGCAGTGACCCAACACCCTTTGCCGCATCCCTTTGCGGGAGAGGGATGGGCGGGGGGGGACGGGAAGCGGTCGCCGAAAACAAGCCCGAGCCAGCGAGGCGGGTAACCCCTCGAGATCGCCACTTCTTGCGCGGCAGTGGCTGCTCGCGCGCGCGCGCGCGCACGGCCCTCGCGCACGCGCGGGCTCGGGCACGGGAAGAGCCTCGCGCCGTGACGACGCCGACCCTTTCTGGCTTTCCGACACCGCGCGAAACGCCCGATCCTGGGCGAGCGAGCTCTGCTCTGAGGTCTCTAGGAGGCTCTCGGCCCCGCCTTTCGCACGGCGCGCATGCCGGGGGCTGACGTCTTCTTCTGTTTTAGCGAACACGGGCAGGAACGGCAGATCAAGAAACCCGCTGCCACTCAAACAGCGACCCCAATCGCACGATTCACGGGCAGGCCAGCACAGCGAGACGCGTGCCTTGCCAGTCCTGGCAACCCCTTGCCGTGGGGCTGGACTCTGCGTCCCTGGGGCCCGAAGCGGGCCCTCGGATGGACGTTCAACCCTTGAGCGCCCGCGCCCAGCCTCGCCGCCGCGTCGAGGCGGCGCGCAGACCGACGCAACGAGAGGTCGTCGCCTGTCGGGCTGCGCGGGGGGCGGGGCTGCGTGCGGAACCCTGCCGCCGCCCACGGGAGCTCGGGCGGCGGAGCCGCGAAGCGAGCGCTCCTGTCGTGGATGCAGGACGTGTCGCAGCCAAGCACCAATGCCATGTTGCGCTGCGGGCGCGGGAGCGACCCACCCTCCTACCCCTCCTCCTTCATTCTTCCTCATGTGTCGTCCATCCGCGTTGGAACACTTCAATTATGCAAGTGTTGTTTGGCTGCTTACTGCCGTGGACAAATCCTGCCATATCCTTCCTCATGGTGAACCTTACTTTCCTCCATTTCCTCCATCTGCTCCTTCTCCAACAACTCCTCGTGTTTCCTCTTCCTCCTCCTCCCCTTCGTTTTCCTCCTCCTCCTCCTCCTCCTCCTCCTCCTCCTCCTCTTCCTCCTCCTCCTCCTCCTTCCCCCTCCTCTCCTCCTCCTCCTCCTCCTCCTCCCTCCTCCTCCTCCTCCTCCTCCTCCTCCTCCTCCTCCCCTTCCGTCCTCCTCCTCCACCCTTTGGAACGTCGATGACACGTCCAAAACATACAGGAAAATTAGGACAATCACAGGAATCACCGGAAACGTGGAGACATCCTGCGGACCCGCAAAGAACTACGCAACACGAGAGGCAACCTACCAAACAGCTCCTGCTGTCCCCTGTTGCTGCTCCTGCTCCTGCTTTTCCCCCCAAACCCCAGAAGCCATCATCCACCTCCGAAAATCTACCGAACCCCTCGAACCGTCGAGAAACCGTTCAACACATTCTCCTCGCCCTCATCCTCCTCGCCCTCCTCCCTCCCCCCCAGGACGCCCTCATCCCCTGGACAGCCTGAGCGATCCCAAATAATCTCCCAGAGCCCATCATAACATCCAATCCGCCCTCGGAAATACTCTCGCTCCTCCACCTCCTCCTCCTCCTCCCCCTCCTCCTCCTCCTCCTTCCCTCCTCCTCCGCCTCCGCCTCCACATCCGCCTGCGCCTCCTCCCCCTCCTTTCCTCCTCCTCCTCCTCCTCCTCATCCTCCTTGTCCTAATCCTCCTCCTCCTCCTCCTCCTCCTCCTCCTCCTCCTCCTCTTCCTTCCTCCCTCATCCGCTTCCTCCCTACCTCATCACTCCTTCTCCTCCCTCCTCCTCCTCCTCCTCCTCCTCCTCCTCCTCCTCCTCCTCCAAACTCCCCCCTCCCTCCCTCCCTCCTCAACGCCTGCCTCCTCCTCCTCCTCCCGCCCTCCCGCCCTCCCTCCCTCCCTCCCTCTCTCCCTCCCTCTCCCTCCCTCCGTTTCTCCTCCTCCTCCTCCTCCTCCTCCTCCTCCTTCCTCCTCCCCCTCCTTTCCCCTTCTCCTCCTCCTCCTCCGCCTCCGCCCCCGCCTCCGACTGCGCCTCCTCCCCCTCCTCCTCTTCATTCTCCTCCTCCTCCTCCTCCTCCTCCTCCCTCCTCTCCTCCTCCTCTTCCTTCCTCCCTCATCTGGCTTCCTCCCTACCTCATCACTCCTTCTCCTCCCTCCTCCTCCTTTCCCTCCTCCTCCTCCTCCTCCTCCTCATCCTCCTCCTCTTCCACCTTCTCCTCCTCCTCCTCCCTCCCTCAAGCAATTGGGGCTCTTGCAGGTGGGGCGGGGGCTGGGGTAACCTTTCCTTATTCTTACCTACCCACCGTACCTCCAGAGCTCCAGTCCTGCACCTCAGCGCGGTGCTTGGGTGGCATCGCGGTCGCGAACTCGGTTCGCTCCCGCGTTGGCGGAGCAGGACATAGTCTACAGTATCCACGATGTCGGGTTTGTCTGCCAAGGTTTGGAGCCGTTGCGCCAACTGTAAAACGTACGAGTGGAACCACATCCTCGAGGGCAATGGCAAAGCATGCAAGAAGTGTGGCCAGAAGGTTCGCCTTCATCGTGCCAGGTCCAAGTCCCCCAAGAGCGTCTCCGTCGACGTAGGCGGGAATCAGTTGCTCAAGCCAGGGAAATCCATTTTGAAAGGTTCAGTTGCTCAGAGTTCAGCGAGTCCGCCGTCGGTGAAGGACCTCCTTGTGGGTGCCATCGCCGCCGCGTCCGACCCGAAGCTCCGAGACACTCTCCAGGCCGAGCTGACCAAACTCGACAGCGAGTCGCAGGCACCCGTTGTCGAAGAGTCAGCTGCTGATGCGGTACGGCGAGCCGACTCAGCTTGGCGGGATGCTGGACACAAGCACAATCAGTCGTTGAAGTCGGTCATGAGGCTCAGGCAACAGCTTACAGCAGCTGAGGCCAAGGAAGCCACGGCGGCAACGACGCTTGCCGAGGCCACGCTGAATAAGCAGGCCGCCGCCAAGCGTCTCGCCCAGGCCGAAACTGGCCCCAAGGAGGAGAACGGGTCTGGCCTATTCAACCTGTCTTGGGATGCAAGCATTTTTGATAACTTGGGGGGCTTCGAGGAGTCGGAGCGCGGGGACATGGAGAAGTTGCAGTCCGAGCTCCAGCAGGCGAAGGATCTCCTTTCCAACCGCGAGGGGCAGGTCAAGGAGTGGCTGAAGAAGGCCACCGACCTGCGCCAGGCAGACACCGAGCGGATGAGGAAGAAGCGCCGCTCCGACGACTCGAGTGCGGCGGAGAGCGAGGAGAAGAAGGACGAGGCCCCGCCCCAGCAGGCTGGACCAGCTCCTGAAGCGCCAGTCCAGGCTGCCGCCACGGAGGCGACGGGCCAGGCCGAGACGGAGGCCCAAGAGGCCAGAGCCGCTGCTGTGCGAGCCGAGGCCGACCGCATATCCCGCGCCAAGTTCGTGGCAACAGAGGCCAAGGGCAAGGGGGTGACGGCCAAGGCGGGGGGCAAGGGCTATGCGCCCTACTCGGAGTGAGAGCGATCGAGCGCGTCTGAGCCCGTGGCTGGGTCAGCTCAGGCGGCGCCGGTTTGCCATGGCCTGCCAGATTATACCTCTTCTTCTTCGGCTCCTGGACCAGCTCGGCTTTTTAGTGGGCCTGGTGAAGTCTCCGAGCCTCTCCTCTCTTCTTCATCTCCTGCGACGGCTGGGCCATCTACGTCTGACTCACAGTCGAGTCCTGGCGATGACGATGGGGGGCCTCATACTACTCTCAACTTTGGGAATGTCACGTGCATGAGTGACAAGGTTTGGCAATGGGTAACAGAGCAGAGGCCTACGATGGAATGTTCGCCTTTGTGGAGACCCATGTCAATGCAGTCGATACTAAGACCTGGGATATCAAAGCTCGCAGTCAAGGGCTTCGGTTGTTTCGCAATGCTGCTCGTAGTGGGGCTCGGCAGCGTCCAGTTGCTGAAGGGCACGAGGCGAGGGCGAATGAGGGAGGTGAGTGGATCTTGTCCAAGGGCCACCTCAGAATTCATTCACTCGAGTTAGCCAACATGCCCGATCTCAAGCAGGACAACTCTCAGCAATTAGATGGCATGGTACCGGTGGTGGTTCACATGCGCGGTTTCTCATTCGTGCTCATCAGTTTCTACGGGTGGAGCGGCATCGGTTTCTCAGGGGAGAATCTACATCGATACCGTCGCCTCGGAGGGCTTCTTAGAGCACTCCAGCTGCCGTGGATCGTCGTCGGCGATTTCAATATTTCTGCGGCTGCTCTCTTTCACTCTCAGTTCGTTTCTAAGCTGGGAGCGCATATTGTGACGGCTCCAGTAGATTACGCATGTGACGCAGGCAAGAAAGGGTCCCACATCGACTACCTCCTCTGCAGCACCAGCGCGATGGGCATCATTCGCAGTGTGGACCCGATCTTAGATGTACCGTGGAAGACGCACATCGGTCTCAGAGTGTCTTTCAGGCAGAAGGGAGAACAGTTACTTACTCGTCTCATGAGTGTCGCAGCTTGACTGCCCCAAGTCCCTCGACCAGGTGTTGAACCCACGTCTGGCTCCAAATCAAGTAAGGCACGTTCTGAGCGGGCCCTCGCTGTGCAGGCAGCTGTCATTAAACGTGATGCTCGCTATGCTGAACTGTTCGGTGATGCTCTGGAGGCTGCTGCTCCGAGTAAAAAGGTTGGTCAGCCCCAGTCGGGAGCCTCGGCGCCACCGGTCGCGGCTGATGATTGCGAACCTGATTTTGATTTGTTTGAAGAAGAGGACCCGTGGGTCCACGAGTTAAAGTTCTGTCCCGACAATGCTCTCGGGGGTCGTTCTGGAGCTGGAGGCTCTCCCGTAGAGCCGCAGTCTGGTGCGTCTGGTTCTGGGGTCCCTGGTTCGGCCTCGGGCTCGGGCTCTGATCCTGGGGGTTTGGGGCTCTCGGGTGGTGTCGCGGAGCCGCTCGGGCCTGGTGACTCCTCACCCCAGGGCCAGGCAGCGCAGCAAGCTAATTCGGCCCAGACCCCCACTAGCATGTCTAGTTGTCAGGTTACCTATGCCATCCCTTTGGAAGTCTGGGAGGCCCAGCGTGCCTCTGTCGGGTTTTCCAGTTTCTCTCCTGCTTCCCTCCCTCCCTACCTGCACGACTCCGCCGTGTACCAGGCTTACCCCAAGGGCTCCAACATCGTAGGCGGGCTCTACGCGTCCTGGGTCCAGGCTGTCGAAGGTTCAATTTACCAACATCATGGTGAGCAGGCCCGAGTGGGCCCTTCTCGGTCGGAGTGTCCGCATTTCGTCGTCGAGGAGGTGCGGGTGAATGATAAAATTCGGGCTGCCCCTTTACGTGATCTTGTTGCTGGGTGGTGGACTCGGCTTCATACTATTATTAATTCCTTGGCTCGTCACAAAGCTACAAGGAATGGGGTGTTGCAGCGGCAAAGGTTGGAGAAGGCATGTCTGAAGCTTCTTGAAGACAGGCCCGACCAAGTCCATCGTGTCGTTCGCGACGGCTTGGAACCTGCTTGGTCTGCATGGCTTCGGGTGCTGCTTGCCACTGCTGAATGCGATGTTCCATTGCTCGAGAGGCTTGCTAAGGACTCTGGTAACATTATGCGTAGAGCTCAGCGACGGGCGGTGTCCGAGTCGCTGGGCGAGTGCAGGGAGTGGGCGGTCACCTCGGAGGCGCTCGGCTGCCTCCACCGCTCCATGCGCCAGGACCCCATCCCCGCCCAGGAGCTTTGGGATAATCGCACCCTCGTGTATCACCCAATGGACATTGTTGATTTCAAAGCTCGCAAGTGGCATCAGTTGTGGGCTCCTCCTGTCAGCACTCCTGAGGCTCT